AAAAAGCATGACTGGTAACAAAATTTCTAGGAAAAATATTGTTGCAAAAAACGAAAAGAAAGAAAAAGTTATGGTGACATACACTCGGTTTGTTATACACTTAAGTTTTGTTAATATATTTTTTTTTGCAGCACTCGGTTAGTTAGTTGATGTAGCATGCCACATTAGAGAGCAGTTAAGTATATTAGGAAACATTTTCTCTTCTTCAATTTGTTTCTATATCTGTTTATATTTGAAATGGTCACTGAAGCCGGATATCTTAAGTCATGTTAGTGTGTGATGGTAGATTAAACTTGTGTGTTTTTGTATTATGGCCTCCAACACAAATGGCAGTAGACTGTTAGTGACTTAGTCACTCACTCATTCATTCTCTCTCAGTCACTTTAGACCATTTAATACGAATATCCATCCAAACAGATCCATGGGAGTTTAAGTAGTACATTGTTGACAACAATGTAGTTTTGTACATATTCTTTATATCGCTCGATGGAAGATGTGTCGCACAACTATGTATGTTGTTATTGTCTCCTTTTTTTTTGGTTTGTATGTTTGTGTAAGGCAAAAGAAATTCATACAAAAAAGTTTGTTTATCCTCCTAGTAAATGATAAAAATCAACAAAATACAACAATAAACTCCTTTTTCAAAAGAAAACTTTAGAATCAAGAGTATATGGTAAAAAAAGCACACTAACATAAAAAAACAGCTTTAAGGACAGTGGTATAAAAAGGCTTTATTTAGCTTTCTAAATATTTTACAAAAACACATTCAAAATTAAAAGTTTATATTATTTATTTATATTCAATTATAATAAAAGCTTTTTATAAAATATAGGAAATGTTTTTTTTATAGATATTTACATAGGCCCGCTAAAGCTTTCCTTAAGAAAGCATTTCATGAAATACATATGTATGTATTTACTAAAATATTTCTTAAAAGCATCCTAACGATCGCAAAAGTTTTATAAAGAAAAAGCTTTGTATAAAAGATTTATTAAAGTTAGTTTACTCGAAATTTTATATAACTTTATAGTTTTTGTACAATCTGAACTTAAAGTTTTTTCCTTTATAGAAATTTAAAGATAACTAACTAATCTCAAAGGGTTTCAATTGAAAAAGCTTTTTTATAAAAGCATTATTAAAACAAGTAAGAAATTATAGTCGGGCGTGGCCGACCATATGATACCCTACACCAGTTATGAATATTAAATGTGATTTATTTTTCATAATAAAGCATTTATCTTCAATATTCCCTTGTTCCGATACATTTAAGCAATTTATGGATGAAAAACTAATTTTCTGAAAGAGGCTTTATATGGGGGCTAGGGGCAAATATGGACCAAGCCCGAAAAAATTTTGTGAATATATTTATATTGACATAATATTTTATTGTGCTGAATTTCATCGCGATATTTGTGTTTATAAGCTAATTTGGGACATTCAAGTAATTTTCTGAAGGGGACTTTGTATGGGAGCTAGGGTCAAATGTGGCCCGATCTTTATGAAATTTGGCAGAGTCATCAAGACTTCTATAAAACTTAGTTGTGCCGTATTTTATCGATATATCTGTATATTTAACATAATTATGAGCTCAGAAGCCCTTTTCGGGGGGTTCTGTTGTTGTATGATCGTAGAAATTTTGTGTTGCTTTACATAAAAAAAGTATAATAAAAGTTTTCTTTGGATACGTTGATCGATTTAAAGAAGTTTTCTGATAAAAATCTGATCGTTCATAGATCGTTTTTTTAAATTTTTTATAGAATTTGATTTGACAATGGGTCAAACGGTAAAAAAAATTAATTTGCAAATGTTAAAGCTGTTGATTATTGCAAAAGATGTCATAAAACAAGATTGAAAAAAACTGATCGCGATCTTGTAAATCGTTTCTAGTGAAAACTAAAGGATCGTAAAACTTTTTAACAAAAAACTAAACTATCAAAATAAAATTCTATCGAAAAACTTATAGATTACAATTTTTTTTAATGCGATCGCAATAAAAGTACACTGATCGCTTACAAAAGTTTTCTATATTAAAGCTTTTTGACCAAAAAAAATTATTTATAGTTTTCTTTTAAAAGATTAATAGAAAAGTTTTCCATAGCGATCCTTTATGATCTTTAATGTTTTCAATTAAGAAAGTTTATCTGTCGGATCATAGAATACTAATTAATTGCAAAAACATTATGTTCGTTTTTATTGATCAGTATCTATAAAAAAACGTTTTTAACGGATCAGTTTTCTATATAAAACTTTTTCGATCAATCAGTATTCTATGAACTGATCTTGCATTTAAATTTTTCTATAGAAGACTTTTTTCGATGAGTTGTTCAACTTTTGGAATTGATCAGTTTTTAAAATGTTTGCGTTTGATTTGTATTTTATGAACAGATTTTGCGATCAAAAATATTTCCTTAAATAAATTTAGCAGACATTATTGATTGAAAATTGATCGATCACAGAAGTATATTCGATAGAAACGATCCCATAGAGATCCCTAATGATCGGTATTATTTTTAAATAATTTCCTATTGAAAACTTTTTTATCGATCCATTAGGCATAAAAAAGCTTTTGTGATCGATCAGTTTTTTCTATAAAATTAAAAAAAATTAAGAAAGTTTATCTGTCCCAAAAACGGATAATAGAATACTGATTGATTGCTAAAATTTTATATTCATTTTTATTGATCAGTATTTATTAAAAAACGTTTTTTACGGATCAGTTTTCTATATAAAACTTTTTCAATCAATCAGTATTCTACCTAACTTGCGATCAAAATTTTTTTTATAGAAGACTTTTTTCGCTGAGTTGCTCAACTTTTAGAATTGATCAGTTTTCAAAACATTTGCGTTTGATTAGTATTTTTGCGATCAAAAATATTTCCCTAAATAATTTAGCCGACATTATTTATTGAAAATTGATCGAAGTATATTTGATAGAAAAGAGACCATAGAGATCCCTAATGATCGGTATTATTTTAAATAAATTTTCTATAGAAAACTTTTTTATTGATCAGTTAGGTATAAAAAACTTTTGTGATCGATCAGTTTTTTTACAAAAAACTTTTGCGATCCATCATTATTCTATGTACAGACTTTGCGATCAAAATTTATCTATTTAAATCTTTTCTTACCTTTCGGTTACCTATAAAAAGCTTTTGCAATCGATCAGTTTTTTATAAAAAACTTTTGCGATCAATTACTGTTTCCTAAAATAAAATAAGTCGACACTATTTGCCTTTTCAGCAGCTGATTGATTAGAAAATTGATCGATCACAAAAGTGTTTTTGATAGAAAAGGTTCCTTAGGGATCCCTAATGATAGTTTAAGTTTTTTTTATTATTTTCTTTTTCAGAAATTCTTTTTATCGATCAGTTAGGCATATCAAGACTTTTACAATCGATAAGTTTTGTATATAAAACTTTTGTGATCAATCTGTATCCTATGCACAGACTTTGCGATCAAATTTATCTATTTAAATCTGTTCTTATCCTTTGGTTTGGTTAGCAGCTGATTGATTTGAAAATTGGTCGATCACAAAAGTAGTTTTTATAGAAAAGATCCCATAGAAAACCCTAACGATCGGTAATATTTTTAATTAATATTCTACATAAAACCTTTCTATCCGATCAGTTAGGCAAAAAAAAACTTTTTTAAACGATCAGTTTTCTATATCAAAGTTTTGTGATCATTCAATACTCTATGAAGAGATCGTAAAAAATTTCTTTAAAGAACTGATCGACAACAATATTATTGTTTATAGAAGCGGATTAATTTAAAAATTAATCGATCAAAAAAGTATTTTTGAAAAATACAAATCGATCGCTAAAGTATTTAAAAAGTTGATCATTTGAAAAATATTCTGAAAAATTCCGATCAATCACAAACGTATTTTATTGGAAACAGTACATTTCAGAAATTTTTAATTAAATTTAAACAATTAATCTGATTATGTTGCAGAATGTTGTAAATGTAGTTTAAAAAAATCATTATTGAGACCACTGTGCAACTTTTTGATGGTGTTTTATTTTTAATGTTGCCATTTTGCCAAACGTTAAAAAAATGTTTATTTGTTTTTCTGTCTGTCTGTCTGTCTGTCTGTCTGTTTATTCGTACATCCGTCCGTCCATATGTCAGTTGTTTATTTGTTAGATGTTTGTTTGTTTTTTCAACCATTTCTTTTTTGTTGTTTTTCTTGTTATACTTATTTTTTAATATAAATTGTATACAATTTCTTCAATTTTCAACAGCATTTTGTCGCAATGTCAACAAACTGTTTTTTTTTTCTAGTTATAAAACTTTTAAAGTTTTTTTTATACTTTTCCTTTATCAATAGTATCTTTAGAATTTGTTGCTTTTATTTGTTTGTTGTTGCTTCTAATGTTTTTTTTTTTCTATTTGTTGTAAATTTAAGCGTTTATTTGTTGTACAATTATGGTCGCTGTTGTTGTCATTATTATTTGTTAATAACAATAGTTAAGTTTGTCGTTGTCGTCTCATTTTTTACGTTTTCCTAGTTTAGTCTTGTATTTTTCTTAGTTAACAAACAAAATTGGTCTAAAAAATTGAGTGGGTTGTTCCCTTTTTTTATTATTATGAGCCCATTAGATGAAACGTCCTTTTCTTTTGTCAGTGTACTTTACTTTAGTTGATGGTGTTTGCGTTCATAGTCATGAACATTTAAACAAATATAATTTACATACAAAATTTGACAATAAAAATAGTCGGTAGTTAAATAAAGTTTAACAGTCTTTTGTTAGAGAAAATATAAAAAATATTATTTTCTTTTGAATTAATGATCAAGAAATTTGATATTTTTGAAAATTTTATTTACATAATGAGTTTTAATTAAAATTGTTTAAATTTTGAAAGATTTTGGCATTTGACAAACACAACTTTGTGCTGAAGTATCAAGTATCTTGTTAACGTCATATATTTAAGAAAATATATATATTTTTTTAATTTCTATACAAATTTACTAATTTTGTTTCTTTTTCTCTTTTTAGGTAAGTTTAAAACTGTTTTCTACATATAAATTTTTAAGTAAGTAGCAAATAATAAATAAGAGATGAGCTTTAGAACTTCAGGTGAAAAGCTGTAAGCAAAAGCTTACTGTAGAAAAAAAGTCATATCCAAAGCTTTCATTAGAAAACATATCTTATCCAACTAATCAATTGCAACATTTTCTATTCAATAAACAAATTGATCATAAAAGCTTGATATTGAAAGCTTATAAATCACTAAAGCTTTCTTCAGAAAATTGATCAATTGTAAAAGTTTTCCTTAGGAAATTGGTTAAATGTTTATTTTTTTAAATATTGATTAACCAAAAATAGTTTTAGAACTCCAATCGAATGAAAAATTAAAAAAAAAACTGAATGATCGTTTAAGAACTTAACGATGTCTCTACCACTTCACTTTTTTATGGAAAAGTAATCGATAGCAACATTTTGATCGATCAGAAAAGATTCTCTGATCTTATTCATCCCAAAAGCTTCTTATAAATGTTTTCTAAAGATAAATGTTTAATTCCAAATGTTTTCTAGAAGGAACTAAACGAAATTTCATATAGAAAACTAATCGATCACAAATATTTTTAACAGAAAACAGATCGATCGCAAAACTTTAGAAAACTGATCAAATGCAAACATTTTCTATAAACATCTGACCTATCGCAAGAAAACTTATCGATCACAAGAGTTTTCTATGTAAATCACAAGAGCTTTCTATAGAAAAATTATCGTTAACAGGAGTTTTCTATATAAAACTGATCGCTCGCAAGAGTTTTTTATAAAAAGTGATCGATCGCAAAAATTTTCTTAACAAAACTGATTAAAGTCAAATGTTTACTATAAAAACTAATCAAACGCAAGAATTTTTTATAGAAAACTTATCGATTGTTAGAGTTTTCTATATTAAACTTATCGATTGCAAAAGTTTTCTATAAAAATCTTTTCGATCACAAGAGTTTCCTATAGAAAACATATGAATCGCAAGAGTTTTCTATAGAAAACTTATGAATCGCAAGAGTTTTTAAAGGAAAACTTGTCGATCGCAAAAGTTTTTTATAAAAATCTTTTCGATCACAAGAGTTTCCTGTAGAAAACTTATGAATCGCAAGAGTTTTTACAGAAAACTCATCGATCGCAAGAGTATCCTATAGAAAACTTATCTATCGCAAGAGTTTTCTATAGAAAACTTATGAATCGCAAGAGTTTTCTATAGAAAATTTGTCGATTGCAAGAGTTTTCTATAGAAAACGTATGAATCGCAAGAGTTTTCTATAGAAAAATTTGTCGATTGCAAGAGTTTTCTATAGAAAACGTATAAATCGCAAGAGTTTTCTATAGAAAACTTGTCGATCGCAAAAGTTTTCTATAGAAAAATACAGAGAGGGAAAAAGAAATATACACGCTTGGTACCAAAATGACACCAAACTGTTTATAATTTTTCAATACCATCCGTTGTCAAAGTATATACATACGTACGACAACACTATGTAATGTTGACAACAATGCAACAATTCGTTGTCGAAATCTAAATTTTATACACATCCGTTGTCTAAATGTTAACAAACGTGGTAAGCTCACTATTGACAAACAATCCGTTGCCTATAGTGAGCTTACCACGTTTATTAACATTTAAACAACGGATGTGTATAAAATTTAGATTTCGATAACGAATTGTTAAAATATTGACAACGTTGCGTTGTCAACATTACATAGTGTTGTCGTACGTACATATGTATATACTTTGACAACGGATGTTATTGGTACTAGGCGTGTATATTTCTTTCTCCCTCTGTGTAGTCGATCGCAAAAATTTTCTATGGAAAATATGGCGATCGCAAAAATTTTCTATAGATATCAATCATAAGAGTTTTCTAGAGAAAAATTCTCGATCACAATAGTTTTCTATAAAAAACTTGTCGATCGCAAATTTTCTATACAAAACTGATAGATCGCACGAAAACTTATCGATTTCGAAAGTGTTTTCAATAGAAATCTTATCGATCGCAAGAGTTTTCTATAAAATATTCGCAAACATGTTCTTCATAAGAATTTTCTAGAGAAAACTTCTCTATCACAATAGTTTTTTATAAAAAACTTGTCGATTTAAAATTTTCTATAGAAAACTGATATATCGCACGAAAACTTATCGATTCCGCAAGAGTTTTCAATAGAAATCTTAGCGATCTCAAGAGTTTACTATAAAAAAAATTTCGTAAAAATGTTCGTTACAAAGCTGATCAAAAACAAACTTTTGTTTATAGAAAACTTATCG